AACACGTAGATACACACACACACACACACACACACACACACACACACACACACACACCACATGCACACTCGAGCATGCAGACACACATACTCATATAAACAATACTGTGTAGTTTAGGAATTACTGAGGACTAGAGAGAAGACTCATTGGTGAAGTGCTTGCTGTTTAAGTGTGAGGACCTGAGTTTGAATCCCCAGCACCCACTTAAGAACCCGGAAGTGGCAGAGTGCACCTGTGAACTCAGCACTGAGGAGGCCACCCTGGAGTTTGCTGGCCAGATAGTCTTGCTGAATTGATGAGTTTCAGGTTCAATGAGAGACCCTGTCTTATGCATATATATGTATACATATACATATGTGCATACACACACAATAGCTAAGAAATGGAATCAGCTCAGATGTCTGTATTAGCTGTGAACATACCATGGTCAAAGTAACTCATAAAAGAAAGCCCCATTTGGCTTACGGTTCCAGAGGGTTAGAATCCACGATGGCAGAGTGAAGAACAGCTGAGAGCTCACGTCTTGTTACACAACCATGAGGCAGAGAGGGGAAGAACTGGGAATCACAGTCTTTGAAAGACCTCAAAACCTCGAAGCCTGTCCCCAGAGGTGCACCTTTTTCAACAAGGTCACACCTCCTAATCCTTCCAAAACAGTCCCACCAATTATGAACCAAGTGTTCAAATATTTGAGTCTGTGTGCAGCATTCTTATCTAAGCCTACCATGATGTCTACCAAATTATTAATAGGGAATGAGAATGTGGTACATATACACAATGGAATTTTATCCACTTACAAAGAAAAACGAAATACTGGAATTTTCAGGTAAATGAATAAAACTGGAAAAAATGTATATTGAGTTAGGTAACTAGATCCAAAAAGACAATGGTGCAATGTTCTCTCTTGTAGGTGGTTCCCAGCTTTGTATCTTTTGTTTTGTGTGTTTAATTTTGGGATATGTGCAGAAATCAGGAGATTATAAAGGCACCATAAGGTTCATTTAGGGAGAATATAACAGGTAAAATCAAGGTAGAGAGGGAAAATGTGAGGAGTGGAAAGGCTTAAACAGGGAGGGTGGTGGACGAGATGAGATAGCAGTGGGTGAATTAACCAAGACAAAGGCTGTGTGAAAAGCCACGTGGAGACCTGCTATCTGCACCCACTTAACCTATAACTGGAGGCATAGTATAACACATGTGATATGAAAGAAGAGGGGAGAATACTGGGGTCTAAAGGTTTGAGTGGAGCTGGGGACAAGGGCTGGAACTGAGGCATGGGTCAGGAGTGAATTAACTGAAGCTGAGAACGTCCACAAAGGGCTCAGGGAGACTCACTACTTTGTAAGCTAACTATAGAATATAATTTTAAAGAAGAAGTTTGAATGGAGTTACCTTTCATTGGCTTGACCAACACTGCTTCCAGAAGACATGGGTTGGGAAGCAAAAGTCTCCCTGCCAAGTGTGGAATACATCCTTACCAGTTATGGGAAGTTAGGGAGTCTCCTGGAAGTCTCCCAAACAACACAGGCTGTTTCCATGTTCTTGGTTGCCCACTCTAAGAATATTGCTGAAAACACCGAAGACTTAGAGGAATCCATCTCAAACTGCATGAGAAACTTCCTTCGTGCTGGCTAGTTTTCACAGTGCTGGAAGGTGCTGTGCAGGCTGCTGGGAGAGGAAAGGCATCCAAGATCTTACCTAGTGAGGGACACTCCACGCTATATGGCAAGCTTCAAGTGCAGCGTACCCAGTGGTACAGTAATGGCATGACTTATGAAGATAACCAGTGATGTTGTAATTGGTTTTTAAGGCCTGCTCCACAGCGTAGAATTCATGCCTGGTGCTGCAAACCTGGTCAGAAGCCCATGGGCAGGGAGGCCACAGGCCCTAGGGATAAACCTACTCTTGCTATTTTGCTAAATGATCATGTTGTCAAGCTGCCTTCTAAACACTCATGTTTATGCCCTAGACCTGGGCTGCTCAACCCTGGTCAGAGAAGCTTGGTTTTGCAGTAGGCAGTGGGCAATGCAGAGACTCAGAATTGGCCAAAGTGCTGAGAATGAGTGTGTCTTTGATTGCTCAGCTATAAATGGGACATTTATATCGAGTCTCCCTGCCCTACTGAGCCTCAAGGATCACTCAGGGTGGAAAGAACATAAAAGCTGGAAGATGGGGAGGGGTGCTGTGAAATTCTGTGCTGTGAACATGCTGTGGCCATTGCACTCACAAGCTCAGCAGTGGCTGTGCTTGTCTGCACAAGACCCGCACAAGGTCAAGCCAGCTAAGATTCCAGCGTGCACTGGGGTGAGGTTTACCAGGCCACACCCTTACTCGGGAGCTATTGACAGTTGATGGCTTTTGGAGGAGGGGTCATTTTGAGGGGGAGTTTATGGCCTTTAGTAGGGTGCCCACATGCACATGGGTAGCAATGATGGAACTCAGTGCAATATATAAGAAGAGGACATAAAGTTGGGAAAGGAGTGTGTTGGGACAATTTAGGGAAGGTTAGAGATGGAAAATGGAATGGAGGGTAGATGTGATCAAAATGCGTTGTGTATGTGTATAAAACTCGTAAAGAATGAAATGTGTTTTGAAAAGCAATGTGTAGACCAATGGAGGAAGACAATAGACATCAACCCCTGGCCTCCACATGTCTGCACACATACCTGCACTCCTGAGACATCAACCCCTGGTCTCCACATGTCTGCACACCTGCATATAACACCCTCAGAGAAAGAGAGAGAGGGGGTGGATAGAGAGCCATGAAATTGATGCCACCCGTGACCTGGCATTCAGCAAACTATGACGCAGTGCAGAGCCATAAGCACAGGGGCTCTTGGTGTCCAGTGCATTATTCAGGAGTTCCCTCATTTCCCACTGATACACTCTTTAGAAAAGTATCTTGGCGTGGTGGGATTCTCCAGGGAAATCTCTCTGACTTTGGACTTCCAGCCAGTCTATAATCTACAGGGTTGATCTGTGGTGATCTTGAAGGGGTTCAGTTTGTATTTAATGAGGAAGACAAGAGTCTTCCCTCCACAGGGGCAGGTGTTCACAGCTCTCTGTGTGTCCCCTCACACTGTGACTCTGTGGCCCCTGCACAGGATCTCTGTGTGTCCCCTCACACCTGGGACTCTGTGGCCCCTGCACAGGATCTCTGTGTGTTCCCTCACACCTGGGACTCTGTGGTCCCTGCCCAGGCTCTTTGTGTGTCCCCTCACACCTGGGACTCTGTGGCCTCTGCACAGGATCTCTGTGTGTTCCCTCACACTTGGGACTGGGAGGCCCCTGCACAGGATCTCTGTGTGTTCCCTCACACTTGGGACTGGGAGGCCCCTGCACACCTGCCTGTGAGAAGCCTCAGGTTCTCAGGGCTCCTCCCCTCCATTCTTCAGGATTTGTGGTGCAGCAAGTTTTGTCCTAGAAAGGAGACAGGTTTTTCTGGGAGGTAAGACATCGGTCTGGGGCTGGCAGGGGAAGATCTGCCTTCTTTCTCTCCCATTTTTAGGGTTCCTGGGGCTGACTCACTGTTCTTTTTCCCCCTCTCATTTCTTGGAGGTCAGACAGGGCTTGACAGAGTAGACTGTGGACTCTTGGTCCCACCTTCTCAAGACAGACAGATTGCTGTTATTCCGAGGTTCTTCGTTTTCCTTTCTCCCTGCTTCCTCACATTCTAACCACCTTCTCATCTTTCTTCCCCATGGACTCTGATGTCTGTTTACTGAAGTGACTCAGGTCCCCTCAGGTTTCTGGCTACTTAAGACTTGATAATGGACCAGCCCCCTCCTCTCCCTGTTCCCCCTTGCCCCATTTTTTCTCCTCATTGCTTCTTAGACATGATCAATTTATTTATTTTGAACTGTTTTGAGGCTGTTTCACTGAGTACTTTAGGTTGGCCTGGAACTCCTGATTCCCTGGTCTCTGCCTCCCAAATTCCAGGATGGTGAGCATGTGCCGCCATCCCAGGCTCATTTGGTGGAGTTTCTAAATTTCACAGGGACTTGCTAAGTTTCGATATATACTTCAGCCTCTAATTTTGACCAAGGCTACCTTACTAGGTTTACATCTGAGTAGCTGTCTTTAACGATCTCTGTGGCTCACAGGGTGGGCAGTGAGGCCATGAGGACAGCAGGGTGGAAGGGCACAGGTCTGAGGCAGACAGACAAGGATTTAAATGCAGAGTCCCCTGCTTTTGCCCATGGCAATTTCAGTTTCATTTGTGTAGATGAGGGAATAGTATCTACTCCTAGGGCACAGCAGAGTGAAATGAAATGTTTATACACCACTTAGCACAAACCAGACATATGGCAGCATTAATTTCTTTCCACATTCTCTTTTTTAAACCTTTACTTACCCTGCTTTGTTATTACAGTTTCCTTTGCCATCGCTGTAGCAGGGTCCCATTTCCTCTCTCTCCCAAACTCACTGTTTTTCTACACAGCAGCTGTGGTCCACCCCCACCCCGGTAATTCACACAGTTACATTGTAACTGGAGCAAGCACTAGCAATCAGGGCTTAAAACATTAAAACCTCTCGGGGAGAGATTTTGCTTAAGTGGTTCTGGAGAACCCATTAGTCTCCAGGAGGATGCTTCTGTGCAAAGGAGATCTTGACTACCGAAAACATAGGGAGACACTGGCAAGCCACTGGATTAAACACAGAGGCCAGGCAGTGGTGCACACACCTTTAATCCTAGCACCCGGGAGGCAGAGATCTGTCTGGATCTCTATGAGTTCAAAGCCACCCTGGACTACATGAGATTGACTCAGTCTAGGAGAGAAAACAGAGCCAGGCAGTGGTGGCACACAGCTTTAATCCCAGTACTGGGAAGCACACACGCCTTTAATCCCAGGAAGTGATGGCTGGACAGAGAAAGGTAGATAAGGCTTCAGGAGACAGGAACTAAAGGCTTTTCGGCAGAAGCATCCCTTTCAGCTACAGGCTTTTTCAGCTGGAGCCTTTCAGGTGAGGACTCAGAGACATTCAGTAGAGGAGTCATGGAGTTGGCGAGGTGAGAAGTGCCTGTGTCTTGTTCCTTTGTCTCTCTGATCTTTCAGCATTTACCCCAATAGCTGGCCCCAGGTTTTTATTAAAAGACCTATTAGAAGGGATTTGTGGGTGCTTTGGGCAAAACCAGGTCATTAGGTATGATCTAGAAGACGTGTTCTCCAGGTGATGATGATGCCCCAAGGGGATGAAACTGTTTCTCTTGGGGAAAAAATTTAAGGTTTAGATTACAGATATGTGTATAAGACATATTTAAAAGATATATTGACATTCCATTACATGGGATATTAAGGGAAAATATTCCTGTGATGGGTATTCTTGGTTATCAATTTGACTATGTCTAGAATTAGCTAAAATGCAAGTTGCTGGGCACACCTGGGGGGGATTTTTCGTGATTGAATCATTTGAGATGGGGAGACCCACCTTAAACCTTGGCCTTGCCTTCTGTTCGCAGCCTATGTAAGGGACACGGAAGAAGGAAGCTCGCTCTCCTCCCTCTCCCTCTCCCTCTCCCTCTCCCACTCCCTCTCCCTCCCTCTCCCTCTTCCTTTTTCTCCCTCCTCCTCCCTACCTGCTTGCTCTCACTCTCTCTGGCAAGTCCATTCCTTCACGGGTATTAGGGCCTCCTTCTTTAGGATTCTGGTGTATACTGAGGACCAGCTGAGACATCCAGCCTCATGGACTGAACAACTACTGGATTCTTGGGCTTTCCGTTGGTAGACAGCCATTGTTGGACTAGCTGAACCACAACCTGTAAGTCACTTCAATAAATATCTCTCTCTCTCTCTCTCTCTCTCTCTCTCTCTCTCTCTCTCTCTCTCTCTCCAGAGAACCCTGGCTAATACAATGCCTGGAAGAGGTTCCCTTGAAGGCAGATTGGAACAAAATACTGGAGCACACTAGTCTAAGGCAGTGGTCCTCCATTCTGTTTGTGAACTGGACTTAGTGGAAGAGTTTTAATACCTGGGCTTTACTTCAGGCCAGTGAAATAAGACCCTTTAGGACTAGGCTTAACTATTTGTATTTTTACGAAATGTATCAGTTAACCCCATCATGGACACAGGCTGACAACCCCAGTCTGAGCCTTGGTTTTCAGTCTGTCCCTGTGCAGGCAGAGTGGATGACAGCTCAGGAGAGGTGGGACAACACAGACTGGATTCAGTTTAAAAAAGAAAGGTGGGGGGAGGGGAGAGGAAATAAATAACATGAGGTTAGGTGGGCAGGGAGGTGAGGGATGGGGTGATCTGATAAAGTACATTGTATGAAATTCTCAAAGAATTAATACATTATTTCAGAAAAGAACATGGGGATGAAGAGATAGCTCACTGGTTAAAAGCACATGTTGGTCTTGCAGAGGACCTGGGTTTGATTCCTAGCACCCACATGTTGGCTCACAACCATTTGTAACTCTAGTTCCCAGAGATCCCTCACCCTCTTCTGACCATATATATTCAGGCAACACACCCAGAGACACAGACACAGACACAGACACAGACACACACACACACACACACACACACACACACATTAAAAAATAACATCTGTTCTAACTAAGGACTTGCTTACTGACCTTTTAAGGTCATTATGATGAATACATGCTAGCATGGTTCAAAGGGCCAACATTATCCATGTAACACAGAACGGGTGTGCAGGAACTGAAACTGGGAACACCGGAGCACAGGATGAGTTCCTAAGAAAGGTATAAATGCAACTTAGGGAACATATGTATATTTTAAATAAAAGTTTGACTAGGAATTAAGAACTTTACTGTTCAGTGAGATTTCATGGAATTCCAAATTTTAACAGAGGGAGCCCTTAAAATGTAATGTATTTATTTTTATTTTTATTTCTGGGCGGTGGTGGCGCACACCTTTAATCCCAGCACTCACGAGGCAGAGGCAGGCATATCTCTTTGAGTTCGAGGCCAGCCTGGTCTACAGAGCAAGATCCAGGAAAGGTACAAAGCTACACAGAGAAACCCTGTCTCGAAGAGCCAAAAAAAAAAAAAAAAAAAGTAATGTAATATTCTGAGTTCTAACCATACTTAGATGATTACATAAGAGAAATATATATGATTTTGACAAAAAATTATTTATTGAAACTTCTAGACATGAAGTATTTTTAAGATCTGAGGTTTATAGAATAGTTTTTTTTTTTTTAAATAAATGGGTGACTTAGAAAACAGGTGAAGGATTCATTGTCACTTGTGTTAACTTTAGGAAGAAATCATTTCTGGGGCATTTATTGGCCGTTTCCTTTGCTCTCATCCCTGGGCCTTCCTCTGATGCTGACACAACGCTGTTACAGGGACAGGAAACTCGTGGGTCTTCACTCCTGACAGACTCCATTGGCTGATGGAGTACAGAGATCAGCTGTCTGTTTCTGGAGACTTCTGCACTACTTTGTTACTTCATGGATAATTATTTTTAATTGTGGTTTTATAATTTATCCAATTTATGACTGCCAGAATAAAACATTTGAAGCTATTAAGTGCTAATGGCTTAAACAATTTCAAAGCTTTGTCTTTAGGGTGATGTATGTAGACGATGCCTGGCTCCCCGACCAGTGCTAACTTCTCACATTTAAAATGTTGGATTAGACAATATAGCGTCTTTGACAGTGTAATAGATTCTGTTTAATAGGCAATGTCTAAACCTGGACCTAATTCACCTCATTTAGTTAATGTAATTTCCCCACCAGGGGTGTTAGGAGTAAATCTCTCTGACATGTGTGGATCTGGGTGAGCTGATAACCCCTCTGGAAGCTGCAGGAGAATCACTCACATTACCACCATGTTCAGACAGAATGGAAGACACGATGCAATGTGAAGACAGTGCCTCAGCTATTTGTTCTCTTCACCGTAAAGCAGTGCACTCCACCTATAAAGAGACACAACATGGACCCGAAGCCTGATAGCAATCATTGTTAATTACCCTGCAGTTGCTATAGATTTACAAGGCTTCATAAAAAATGCTGAGATTTTCTTCTTCCCACTATTGTGAGATTGGTCAAATCTTTCCTTTCTTTTCTTTTCAAACTACATGTAGAAAGGACAGAGGAGCTAGACAAGAGGAGTTGGCCAGCCTCTCACCAGCTCAGTGTGCTCCTCTGTGGGAATCCATCAAGAGCCAAGAGCAGCTACCTCGGGTTTTGACACCAACTCTGGAGGTCCGGCTCTTTGCTTCACTCGTTTACTTCCTCAGTACATATTTACTGAGTCCCATGTGTTTCAGGACCTGTGCGGTAGATTCATAACGTCCTCCTGGGCTCTACAGCAGCTTGCAATGGCTACAAATCAAGTGGATGCAGCCTTTACTCCTCACCTGGGATTGACGTGTTCCGTTGTTTTCGTGGGGAGACCTGGAAGTCTGTTGGTAGCAGACCCAGGGAATGGCTCCAGCTGGTGAGCTCGTTGGGCTGACTTACAGGACTGGGGGGAGTGAGGTGTGGGTAACTCAAGAGAAGGTGAATCGCCCCAGGGGCGGCCTCCTGAAAGGTGTATGGTTGCAGTCTACCCTTGGTGAGTCTTCTGCTTCACACACTCCACTATCCCCTCGAGACCGTGCATGGGTGAGGAGCAAGTAGAAGGCTGGCACCTCTGGTTAGAGTCCCACAACTCTCCCCTCTCTCCTATACTGGGAAGGATGAATAGCCCTGTTACCATGACCATAAACCTGGCCTTCCCTGAATTGTTCCGCTTATTTCATTGCCATGACTACAGAGCCAAGGTTATTCTGTAGGTCACAATTGCAGTCTCTGCTCCATGATGGCAATGGCCATGTCAGGCCCAGAGGAAATCACTCACTGCAGCAGAAACGAGGGATGAATGAGCCAGCAGGTGCTCAATAATGACAGCTATTTCTGAACTCTTTAGCAGGAACCTCTTAGCGCCATATGGATAAATGGTTCTCTTAATATAGCATTTGATGGTCCTTTCTACTCCTGGGCTGCAAGGGAAAGTGGTGGCAGTTTGGGGAATATGAAGCTGAAGTTGTCTTCTGGGCCTTCAAAACTAAAACCACTTTATCTCTCACATTCTTTAAGTTGCCCAGAACATCTCAAATACTGCACACAAAAGGGCATTCAAACTTCTGCTGATGAACCATTTTGTCATTTCAGTATTAGGGACCCAAAATGAAGCACAAAGTTTATAGACAAAAGAATTAAATGCAGTATGGGGTGGGGCTCACATGTGCATTCAGAGAGGCAAAGTTAGCCGAGGACAAGGATGCCAAATACGCTGAGTAAGCATAGGAGACAAAACTGAAAAAGTGGGCAGGGTGGGGCCTTGATGGGGAGATCAACAGGGATGCAGTGGGAAAACAAGGAGAAAATTGCAATGTGTGGGGGAAGTAATGGACTCACAGAAAAGCAGAGGTGATCGGTATTGGACATATAAAGGAATGTCCATTCTACCAACTGGGAGATTGAGCACAGTATAGGAGGTTCTGAGAGAAATGATAAACGGAGCTCAATATGCCTTCAGGCATCATGTGGACGTACTCAAGAGAAGACACTGGACCAGGCATTAAAGGGGGCCATAGGTCACAGAAAGAACTCCAGTGAGCTTAAGGGATAGACAAAGTCAGTGGAGACAGAAAAGGATCATGAAGAGCCTCTCTTCCTCCAGAGGAGTCTCGGTGATTGGTCCTGAGAAGCCCGGGGGTCCTCTTTAACGTCACTGTCCTCTCCAACATGCCATCAAGACCAGATCTTGTCAAACACGCCTCCTTAATCATCTCATAGCTACTTGTTTTTTCTGCCCCTCTGACATTAGTTCATGGCATATAAGTCAGTAGACTGGGGACAGGGACTAAGAGTCTGCATTTCTAATGTGTAGAAAATTTCCCAACAATTTCTAATTAAGAGAGGCTTGCAACAGTCCCAAAACCCAATGGCTCACATGATAAAGGTATTGGATTTGGTCGTTTGCAAGTGTTAACCACATTCCCTTTAACTGGTTTAATGGTTTTCTTTAGGCTTGCCAGCTGGATAGATGGAATCTGTTTAGTCCATCCCTGGGATACTGAAATTGTCTTCAATTCAGATATGGGGGTGATTTGCAAAAGTAAGTCACTTTTTTTATATGCTTCACATTAAAAGAAGGCATCTGGCGGCTATTTTTAAAGCACCAACATCTTTAGAGTCGTATTCTGAGAAGTCACATGTATTATACATGGTTATGCTAAGTGAAACTGGGATTTCAATGCACAGCATTGAGCTGGCTACTTGAAATCCCACAGGGAAGGGTTTGGGTGGAAAAATAGCCTTTTGCATGAACTCAGCTGGATTCCCATCTGCTCTATTAGATTGGTTTAAATGCTGACCCTGAAGAGACCCAGGGCTTTGAAATCAAGGGACTCAGGTCTTTTATACAGGACAAACACAGCTGTGTTCACTAGCTTGCAGCTCACCTACAACTTTGATCCACACACTGCCTTTTCCTAGCTCAGTAGTAGTTCATCTTGACTGTGCATTAGACTCACTTGGACAGCTTCAGAACACACCAATGCCTGGGTCCCATGCAAGACCCATTGAACCAGAACCTCAGGGCTGCAGCCCATCCCTCAGCATGCTCAAAGAATTCTCAACTGATACTGAAGTCCAGCCAAGGTTGAGGAATGTTGCCCCTTACTAGTTAATACACTTTGAATTTCTAGACCAGTAAAACTCACCTTGCTCCTGCTGGTGCTGATTTCAAGTTAGTCAACTTATAGCAATAATTACAATTAAGCTAAAATAATTAAGTATGTAATATTGAGACCCTCATCTTCCACTAAAATTATATTTAAAATATTTTAAAATTTAAAGTATTCAGAAGGATTTTGAGAAGGGGGATGTATAACCCCCAAGCCTCCACAAATACTCAACATCCTCTTCTTCATCTGTGTGACTGTCATATAGAGCTGAGGCGGCTCTGCATTGACCTGTGTTGTCAGTAACACATCTTCAGGGACCACACACACTGTCTTTCCAACTCTCTTGACCACCCCAGCCATGTACATCCCGAATCTCTAGCATAGAGTCCACAGGGGAAGATCTGTTACAGATTTGTTGAAAGAAACCAAGACCCTGGAATAGCTTTAAACATTTAGAGCTGTGTTAAATTGCATTAAGTCTGGTTGGAGGATTTCTCTGTGTAATGAGCTGTGACTTAACAACTAGTATTGGATAATTACAATGGTAGTCACCTATCTACCACAGACAGCCAACTGTCCAAACAAAGTTCAGGTAAGAAAATCAAGAACCAATTTTGCTGTGGATATCACTCTATATAAATAAAACACTGATGGCCAGTGACCAGACAGGAAGTATAGGTGGGACAAAGAGAGAGGAGAATTGGGGAAACAGGAAGAAGGAGGAGAGACACTGCAGCCACTGCCAGGACAAGCAGCATGTAAAGACGCCGGTAAGCCACCAGCCACGTGGCAAGGTATAGATTTATAGAAATGGGTTAATTTAAGAT